CGCGAGTACACAGCGAGAGAGCAGATAAAATCAATTAAGGTCAATTTAGTAGATAATTGGTACGTGGGATTTATACGTAAAATCTCGCCGTGGAACGGCGGCGAAATTTCTTTTCCTTCGGGAAGCAAATTTGGAGCACATTTTTTTCTTAGCGCGTAAAGATATGCACACAAGGGAAAACGCTGTGTTAACGCGGAATATAAAATTGGGAAGCGCAAATTTTCGGGTAATCAAATTAGACATTGTCTTGGCCATTATAATATATGATGCATTCAGGTTTATCTCTCTGAATAAATTTATGTCAATCGATTCATATTAAACAAATTAATACAATCGGGAATATGAATGAAGGAGGGTAAAAAGCATTTTCATCGAACATTAGGTAAAATGTGACGTGTGTGAATATTCTCTTAGCATTAAAATTATTTCGTCCCAGAGGCTCAAACATTGCTGCTTTTAGTTAATTTCATTTTCTATATACATTAAATTGCGCCCACCACAACAACATTCCTTCTAATATGCGCGTAAAATGTTGCTGTAACGCGATTATCGGGCAGACACCATCCCGGACATACATATTTAAATATACCCTACCGCGAGCATAATATACCCATTTTTTTCTCCACAAAAAATACAATCTACCTCACGTATTCCGTAAAAGCCCTACGGCTACGGTCCTCGTTTTGTATTTCGAGTGAATTTAAAAAGAAGCATCGTCTTAATTGAGATTTTGTATATTCGACATTCGCAAAACACGCAGTGCTCTGCTCCTGATAAACAAACGATTTACAAACGTGGTTAAGTGCATGTTCTAGGTGTACTTGCATACTTGCACAGTTATTTACCTATATTTGTTTATTTGCGAAATTTTTAATGCAACTTACCGTTGCCTCGACTAATATAGATTGCGAGAGTATTTACGTGCACTTAATCGAACAATAACAAGACTCGGAGTCTACTTAACTTAATGGAAGGTGAAGTCGCGCTTTCGTGAAAGCGATGATAATTCGGAATTCCCGTTGAAACCCAGGCCTTTCGCAGCTGCAATCGATAATCGATACGACCAATTTGATGAACACGGGGCCGAGATATTTCCAGCATTCCTCACCTTCCTGGCGATGAAGTATGTAGATATTATACCCCTTATAGAATCTTATTATAGCCCGGCGAAAATCCTTAACCATAGCTTAAATATGCCCGTATATACGGAGTGTACCGAAACAATCGTATTTCCTTCCAGCCGCACCGTTTTCGACTCGAGCTCAATTTCTCCGTAACGATGTTATCGGGAACAATAAATTGTTGTAACTTTGTAACTTTGGGACGTCGCAGTAGTAATGTTAAATCGACAATTTGTGTTAAACCAAAACCCGTTCCAAATTATGGAATGAAGTTGTCTATTATAAATGAAATAGCGACGTTAAAAATATATAATTTTTAACATTAACGAAAAAAGCTTACAGCAAAGGCAGCTCTATCGTGTAATTCCATTTCCCGCTTTTGTATTTACGTATGATATTTTTACTTAATCTGATTTCGATTTAATCTGATTTTATTTCATTACAAACGGGAGACTTGTCTGTGCTTCTCACAGTTTTCAAATATTTATATTGATTGACGTTGCCCGGTAGAATAATTGGATTAAATGCTGCAGGAAGAATCCAACCAACAACCGCAACATTGTTAGCTGGTTTTTGCATACAGGACGTGATCCAATTAACCATCTTCCTGTGTAAATAAAATCAAACTTTGCACTGTATAAGAAGAGAGTACGAAAGAAAACAGTATCGTCCCGTTAATTGTATGTTCGCGGTGAAAAGCCTCGATTCGTACGTACCAAAAATTACCGATTGCAACAAGTTTTCGCAGAAGCAGCCTTGCGGGAAACGGAGCAGAAGGCGACATTAAATCAATATTCAATTTATTTTAATGGCAAATTTAGATATGTTGTAAATGTGCTGTCATATGAGACGAAGAGTTAATCTAAAACACGAACGGAACTCAGTTATGCAAATTGATTTAACCGTTCGGAGAGCTTTCAGTTCTATTCCGAGAACGGCCATTTGAAGTCTCTGTGTCAATAGAGCAAGATTCTGTCTCTCTCTCCAGCCCCTCTCTCTCTCACTTTCTACGAAACAATACAGCGATATTAATTGTTGCCGGCCTCCAACGTGGAAATGGGAAATACTAGCCTTTGCGAAATGCTATCGCAGCCCTGCCATAGTTCGGACGAAAATTCTTGCGATTTCATGGTAACAATGGCGCGTGGTGGTATACGAGGGTATATTGCCATTTTCGTATTTGCCTTCGTTCCACGTTCAATTTCGAGATGTTTTTCCAAAAATTCGTAGTATTCCCTTCGTCCGCAGCGGGATATAAAACTACTCATTGCTGTCTCAATATAAAATTGTTGTGCAGTCTGTAACGATGGAATAACGCTCGAAAGATATCTGTTTCCTGTGAAGTTGCACTCACAGAAAAAATTTCCGGATCCAATGCTATTACACTTCAATGTATCATAAAATGGGATCGTTATAGCGCCAATCATATTTGTTATAGAGAAAAGAATATTTTTATCTCAAATGAAAAATTCTAAAATCTAGAATAAAATGATAGTATGTATCGCCTTTTGTCGAATATCGTGGTGCAAACTTCGTGCGTTTTAAGATGGGGGGAAAATTTATTCTAAACGCAAGAATATATAAACTCACATTTATATAAGTTACTCTTGGCTCAATATAATAGCAAGAATATGTAAATAATAAGTCAACCCTTTTTAATTCGATAGAGGAGAAAAAGAATTGTTGATTTTATTTTGACATTGCCTTATTTTTACACTAAATGAGGTTGTGTGAAATATAAATGCGTCAAGAATACTTTTTGTCTCGGTAACAGAATCCTTTCTGCACAGAAAAAATTTCTGGATCCAACGCTATTACACTTCAATGTATCATAAAATGGGTTCGATATAGCCCCAATCATATTATAAAGAAAAGAATATTTTAATCTTAAATGAGAAATTCTAAAATCTAGAATAAAATGATAGTATATATCGGCTTTTATCGAATATCGTGGTTCAAACTTCGTGCGTTGTAAGATGGGGGAAAATTTATTCTAAACGCAAGAATATGTAAATTCACATTTATATAAATGACTCTTGTCTCGATATAGTAAGTCAACCTTTTTAATTCGATAGAGGAGAATAAGAATTGTTGATTGTATTTTGACATTGTCTTATTTTTACACTAAATGAGATTGTGAGAAATATAAAGGTATCAAGAATATTTTTGTCTCAGTAACAGAAATCCTTTCGGAGAGTGTGGACTCTTGTGCTTCGTAACGAGATATTGTATTCGATCCGTTTGAGTTTTCATGCGCTATAAGAAGTTACGTCTTCGTTATATTCCCTGACGTGAACACAGATCAGAGATAATTATCTTGAATTTTACATTTCAATACTTTTAGCTCGTGCGTTTAAAAAAGGGGGGGGGGCGGAAAGAGCAATTGAAATGGAGTTTCATGCTAAAGTTTCCGTGCCTATGTAACTAAGCAATTAAATTTATTTAGTGTTCGCTGTCCGAGTGAATTAAAACGCTTTCGCTACGTAGCTAAAACGTTTCCACTTCACTGGACTAAGTGAAATCACCATTCACGAAATATCCGAACGATATGTTCGCCGGTAGCGAAAATTCGCTCGCAATCGCACGTCGGAAATAACGTCGCTCACGCCGTTCCCGCGTTTAAATCCAAAAATGCAAAATTTCACGGACCACTGCACGCAGAAATCATGGTAAATGTCGGCGGATGGAAAAGAACGGGGCTATGTCGCCCCGAAGAATGCAATATCCGTTTAAAGGAAATTTGTTATCAGCGCAACTGCGAACGCATCGTAATTCTTGCAAATCAAGAATCGATACCGGCCAACTATCGAAAGAGGGGGAGTCGGACGGGTTCGTTATACAGGGTGTCCCAGACCCGGGGCGGTGCCGTTATTCAGTGGCAAGAGGGTTAAAAATAATTGCGACGGTTTCAATATCGAGAAATTAATTTTAGACCTAAATAATTGAGAAACGATTTCGCATTGAGCCCCGCAATTTCGAAGGGACAGCAATATCTTCCGCCGCGATCAGGTTTCGCGAGAATTTTAATAGAACGTTTGCGAGTAATATTACCAAAAAAAAAGAGTCCTGCGAAAGAAGAAAAAAAGAATCGACGCCGGATATTATGCAGGTTCATTGAATGCTACGGAGTAGCAAGTGCTGATATCGCATATCTGTTCGCCGTGCAAAGCAACCATATTGCGTTTTAAGCCGGAGGAAGGATTATCGGGTTACATGAGTTGAGAATCAGCGGAAGATATATTGCACGCATAATCGGCTGCAACACGCGCACTGTTGAATTATGCATCAGGAGACACGAAGCAAGAGAATTTGATTCGATGTTAAAGATATATAAAACGAGAGCGTTGAGCAGACACGTGTGAGCCCAAGAGAAATTATGAAAAATCGTGAAATAGGGTTTTAATATTACCACTTACCCGACGGCGTTCGCACTTTTCATGTGTAAATTCAGGCCGGATTTTCGAGAATCTGCATTTCTTCCCGCCTTACATGCGCAATAAAAATTGTTCTCACACTCACGCCGTAGAATTCCCCCGTCCTCTTCTTTCGAGACGTTCTACGAATAACAAAGAGCGCGCGCGGTCGTTCAGGCCCGTGTCAATTCCCGAGGGCGCGGGGGAAATACAATTATACAAGTTCGCGGAAATGCCAGTTAGGAACAGATGTTAGTTACTGCTTGAATTGCGTAAAAACAGACGTTAGTTTCTGGTACTAATGTAATTCCGATAAGAGCGGCGTCGGCGCCCTCGCATCCCCCCGCGCCGGGGGAGATTTCACCCCGGCGAAGTAACCGGCGCAAGTCGGTCGCGCTCAAGTCTAACGTGCAAGCCTATCTTATACGGGGGTTTAATCGCAAAACGTATGATTTATCGTTCGCAGGGGCACCAGCGGTATCGACATAGACCTCCGCCGGGTAGACATAGATCAGTGCCCGTTGCCGGCTGGATCCACGCAGCTCAACATATTCGCCGCCAGCGACAAGTGCAAAAAGCGCACCACCGAGGTAATGCTAATTTCTCGCCGCGTTCTTCTCCGCGAGGATCGATGTTTCCCGCGAGTGTCCTTCGCGCGGTGTCGGGCGCGACGCGCGCTTGAAACGTACCGCACGGAATAGGGCGAAACCCACCGGGGGAGATGTTTTTCCGCGTGGCGACCGACTCTATTTGTAAATGCCACTGTCGACCCTGCCGCGCTAGCGTCCACCGCGCGAAAAACACCCCGCTCGCGCAGCGTTTTTGTCTTCCCCCCCTGACAAACCGCGCGCGCGTTATCGCCGTGTTTTACTTTCCATAGATTAAAACTCGCAAATTGTAATTGAGAGAGAGAGAGAGAGATTTCTTTTCACACAAAAATGTTTTCAAGTGTAAATTCCTCTTCCGTCGAGATTATTGAATTTTTGCGGATTTAAATCGTTGGATTTTGATAGTTAAATTGCAGCGCGTCGGTCACGTGCTCTCCTTGGTGGATTTCTTGATAAATTTCACGGAACGTTTGCCGTAATAAAAGCGTGGAATGGAACCGACGTTAACGTCCCTTTGTAACGCGATTTGAAATTCTCCATTAAAATTTAAATTACAAATTTTTAACATCTTCATTATTATGGCAGATGTCAGTCTAAATTTTTGAAAGTTCAGCTCTTCCTCACGTAAGAGCGCGGGTAAATACGCGGGGAAAAATCCTGGGGAAATTACGGGGAATCTACGAGTGGCGTACATATCACTTGTCGGCCGACGCCTTATGTAAACCCGAAACTTTAAACCCCCGTGTTTTTCGGAAACCACGTTTTTCCGATTCGCGGCAACGATAACTCACGAACTTGGAGAGGATCGCAATTTGGAGGGAACGTTTTCAAGCACACTTCTCGCCGTCGGTCGCGTGAACTGCGGGGCTTTCGAGGGGTAAAACATGTTCGTTGTTATAAAAACGATATAAGAATCATTTTTTACGTTTTTTCCCCCTCCTCTTTGCCTTTCATGACGCTGTTCCGTCCCATTTTATCTTTATTTTTTTTTATTTCCCCTTTTATTTGTTTTCACCACTTCGGACTGGTTCACTCTGTGGCACGGTCGTAGTTTATCGTAGGTCTTCATTTTAATGGAGACTTTCATTATGACTGTGATATTTTTTAATATTACCTCGTTTTTTTAAACGGTAATAGCGCTACACAAATGTATACGAAAGGCAACGTATTTCGCCAGTTTTTACGCCACGTACAATCCCTTCTGATAAAATGTTTTTAATTTTGCTGTTTCGAATAGATCTCGTAAACCTCCACATTTAAGTATTAAGTCCGGACGTTGTGGTCTCAACATTGATCTCGAGTGATTTAACATTGGCCCACTTTAAATTCATCTTAACGAGGCCTCGACACTAATTTATTTTACATTAATCTGAAATATAAGATTTGTATCAATTAGAGACATAAACGCCATTTTAGTGGTCGAGTTGGCTAACAAGTAAACCTACCTAGGTGGGGACACACTGATTTTTATGAGTGTTGAATATGTTGTTTTTCAGCTCAAAATAAGGGACACATATTTTTTTATATGTGCCTATACGCAATTTTAGGTGATGAAATACCCTTTGAAGAAAATTTGATTTTCTCTTTCGGGGTGAATATAGAAAGTGTAAGAGCTAGAAAAAAATTTTTTAATGAAAGTTGAATCGTTTCAATAGTACTTTAAAACATATGAGCAAAAATTTTTTAATTTTTTTAATACCTCTACCACTCAACATTTTTTATTACAATTTTGAACTTTATTATATACGGTTGACTTCATAATAAAGTAAGTTGTAACTTATTGCTAAAAAAGTTTCAAAATTTTCAATTTTTTTTCTAGCTTTTACACTTTCGTCAATATTCGTCCCAAAGAGAAAATCAATCTTTCACCACCTAAAAGTTCATATCGGGACGTATAAAAAAATACGTGTCCCTTATTTTGAGCTGAAAAACAACATATTCAACACTCATCAAAATCGGTGTGTCCCCACTTGGGTAGGTTTACTTGTAAAACACAATCCGTCACGGATTGAGGGAGGTTCCAGGTTCGAGTCCTGGCTGAGGTAATATTTTTCACAATAAGAATTTTAAATTTAGTACGGGGAGAGGAGGTTATTGTAATGAAGGTTTAGCATTTAAAGTACAGCATTTAAAATAATTTATCAAAATCGTTCAGCGATTTTATAACACGTGAATTCACTGCCGATAATTATTCCACCTAACGAATAACCTGCGTTATATGTCCGGAAAGTATCGGCGCGCAGAACAGGTCGGAAAAAATACGGTATGTGGATTCGCGTAGTAATTTAATTGGCTACCTCCACCTGTGCCAGGTCCGAAATGGCGTTTATGTTTCTAATTGATTTAAATCTTAAAAAGGACCGAGTTAAAATATAAGATTTCCCTTTAACTCTCTCGGATTAATCAGTTAATAATTGAATTCTCGAGTGGCTAAAATACCCATGATTGTTTCCACGATTTATGAAATTGTTCTCTTCGCGAAAGCAACGTGAAAACTACGCTGTTACGAACGTTACTTTAAATTACAAGCTAAGCTGATACACGTGCACGAGGCGGACCGGATAGAGTAAGCTTCAATTTTTCAAGTGTGACACATTGTAATGAAATATGGATAAATTTGTAATCAAGCGGGACACTCGATCGTGTCCAGCCGCGAGAGCCGTGAATCAGACCAGCTATCGCGAAACAATTCCAACGGATTACAGCCCGTCCCTAATAACGAAAGGCTTGAACACGTAGCGCTGATTAGATACAATTGATCGTTTTGTCTTCTATTCGCAGTGCATCGCCATCCCCGGGCTTGGCTTCCGCCGCGGTAGTTATCGATGCGTTTGCAAACGAGGCTTCTACTACCCGGACACGAAATCGGACAAGAGGTACTACAATGGCACGGTCATTGAAGAAGAGTACGAGAGATTGATGATGGTGAGTAGTTTAAAGCTGAACTAATGTGTAAAAGCAGCCTCGCCCTCCATTTTCCGCACCGCAGGACGCTTAATGCTGTTTTGTAATATCTACCTTCCCCCCCCCCTACCCTCCCCCTACCCCGCGGAAGCCGAAATTACTTCACTATAAGAGGAACGAAATTATGGTAACAAAATATGTAGGGTATTTCGTCTTCATCAAATTTTGATGAGCCCTCGTCGCAATAACGGGCTCCTTTACCAAATGTGAAGTCGATTACGCGAGCCCCGGCGCATATCGATGGGAGAGTCTCCCCGTTAAACTTTAGCGCGGCAGAAGAATGGAAATACGCACATTTTGTATCTTTCAATTTGCGAAAGGTCTACAGAAATTGATTTTCGATCGGAAAGTAATTTGCGATTTCGCCGACGGATTAAATAAAATCCTTTGTCCTCTCTGCACGCCAATATTCAATTATGATCGGAACAATTATTCGCTTCGGAGGGGGGGGGGGGACCGAGGGAAAAAACTATTTAATTTTCCGCAAATGTACGAATGCGAAAGATCGGCGAGCGCGCGCGGCGTGCAATTTGAAATACATTTCGACGAATTTTCGATAAATTTAGCTCGACGTTATTGCACGCGTAAAATGCAGTTTGAATGGAATATCCAGCTGATATCAGCGTCTCGCGCGCGCTCCACTTTCGTCCCGTTCGCTCACGCCTCCTCCATTCTCCGGCCTCAAAAACAGGATCGCGGAGCGGAAGATCGCAGCGACAGCGCAATTAGATCGTCGCTGGCGGCAACGGCGTTTACGGCGTAACGCACGTTAGCGCGCATTCTATTACGTCGGACGGCGTAGGAGAGACGACATTTTTTTTCCCCCCAGTGCAGTTTTCACGTCCGTCGGCCCAACCGTCACTTCTGCGCTCGCAGGAGCGAAATGGGTATTGACAGCGAGGCGCGATGGCATCTATTGTCACCGCGTGTTACGTATCTTTTGTGATTTGATGGGCATTTCCATCGCTCGCGCGACGCGCGACGCGCTAAAACTATTTTCCAGCCGTGCCCTTCGGTACTTGGCGCGACCGTTTGTAACCGCAAACGGTTACAATGGGTGACGTCTCCTCCGCCGAATATCCTTAATAACCGGGAACCCGGGATATTAACGACGTGTCATCCTTTTTTTTTCGGGGGACGCGTCGTGGGCAGCGCCGATGTCCGCATTGTTGGCGTGAAAGAGCGCCAGAAAGGGGGAACTCGGAAATGATTATTCTCCAGTTTTTCACGGGAGACATCTCCTTCCTTTTGCCGTCGCGACAGAAAGTTGGATGAAAGGAACTCGGAAATGATCATTACACTTACTAGTCTTTCATACCGGAATATCTGATGATGCATATCTCATTGTGCGGGATCTCTCGGGCGTTCCTTGCCCCAAAGATCGACCTCTTACACGTGACTGTCCGCCTCTGAATCGAAGCAGCGCGACGATCTTCGACCTCGTCCTAATTATATTAATTTACGGATAATTTCTGAGAAAAACTCTTTCGCCACTTTGTTTCTCGTGGATTATATTTTTACGACGCACGTCGACTCTGGTTAATGCCCGTGCGTTTATGAGATTGTATCCGGAACTGCGGAGAGAGGAAACTTTCGAGGAGAGAAATACGCGAACGTACAGAATAGCATAATTATATGTTACGATTACCATGAATCGTTGAAACGCCGTAGACGAGACGTCGTCGGGTTTGGAATGATGAATTAAACGGCTCGTTTCTTCCAGAGTCTTCTATTTTACTAACTTACAGTCGCCTAGCGAGCGTGCAGTCACGACGACCGCTGAGCAAGATCTAGCAGGTAGGCCTGCAGTCCCTTTGATGCTACAAATACTTCGAATTCTTCTTCTCCTTCTTTCTTTGCTAAAAGGAGGGAGAAGAGGAACGCTTCGGAAGCATTCGTAGCAACCAGATGGACCGTAATGTGTGACGAGCAAGTCCCAGTCTACAACAGATGATTTTAGCCCTAAGCCTTAAGGGGATGCTGGAGTGATTCTGCACTTTCGCACCTTTTGCACTTAAAACTGTCTGTTTCGTGGAAAGATTTGTGTAATACACAAATTAAATGGCACGTGTACAGATGATCGAAAGCAGCTTGCTATTCCGGCTAAATGAAAGAACAATATGACATCACTGAAACT